GGGCATTCTGGGGGAGGGCCCCAAGCCTGCCGCCAAGAGCAACCACCCAGTTGGTCACCCCTCTCCCTCCCCTCCTGCCAGATTTAAAGGGCTTCAGCTAATAGGTGGGGACCACATGGCCCGCCAATCAACTGGAGGACCCTTCAAATCTAGGAGGGAGAGAGAGGGGTGGTTGCAGGCCGCACACGTGGCTTGAAAAAAAGACCCTTTTTTTAATAATTATTTTTATTGATTTTAAAACATATAACACAACATCGTAACCCTCAAGCAATCACCCTCACCAATCCACACACCCCATACATACATAAACACCCAAGTCAGAACCCCTTCTTCTCTTGACTTCATCTTTTATCCATCCATTTATAAAACGGTGCCCAAACTTCTTGAAATCTTGGACTTATATTTCCGTTAACTTTTTGAGTTAGATTATCCAGTTCTGCTACATCAAGCAGTTTACTAATTAACTGTTCTTTTGTTGGTACCTTTTCATTTTTCCATTCCCTTGCGAGCACCATTCTGGCTGCCGTTAATATGTGTAGAATTAAATATTTTTCATTTTTCCTCCATTCATCAGGAAAAATATTCAGCAAACATATTTCAGGGGCTAAAGGAATTTGCTTTTTAGTGATCTGCCAAATCATCTTCTGTACCTCCTTCCAGTAAGATTTAACCTCATCACATAGCCACCATAAATGATAGAACGTACCTATTTGGGTCTTGCATTTCCAGCACTTTGAATCCAGCCCAACATATATCTTAGCTAACTTTTCCGGGGACATATACCATCTGTGTGTCATTTTAAAAATATTTTCTTTTAGTGCCGCTGCCTTTAAAGGGTCATTTTGCGAGCAAATATGTAGATCTCAACTGCCCCTCTCCCTCTCTCCCACTAGATTTAAAGGGCCCTCCAGCTGACCGGCAGATCATGTGGTCTTTGCTGATCAGCTGAAGCCCTTTAAGTCTGGCAGGAGTGGAGGGAGAGGGGTGACTGGGCAGGTAGTTGCTCTGGGGGGTGGGGCTTCCCCCACCAGCCAGCTGGCCAGGACAGATTGGAGGCCCCAAAAGTGGGGGAACCCCCACCCGGTCCTGGGGGCTGGCAACCTGAAAGGCTAATGTAGATCATGAAGCAGCCTGTTGGCTCAACAGCTTATGTTCAGTGATGGTGTCATGGCTCAGGTGGGGTGTCACCTGATGCTGCCACCACTCTGGATTTAGGATCCCTTGAGAAGGCCCAGAGCACCCTCCCAAGACCTTCAGACCTCCCTTTTGGCCAAATAATAGGCGTGAGGACCAAGCAGAGTACAACAAGGAAAAGGTTTATTTTATAGGAGCTCAAACAAACAAGATGCAGAATAATAACAGTAAATGGCTGAAAAGAAAAAAAATCAAATGCCCTAATGCATCTAAATGTATACTGTCCCTAGCTCACTATCTCAAGTGTCTTTAGACTACTCACCCTTCCCTCAGGATGAGGGTTTCTTCCCCACAGCAGCCTCTCTTCTTGCCCTGTTTCCTGGGAAGAACAGCTTTTTCTCTTGCACCAGTTCTTTTATTCCCCAGCCCTCTTCTTCCCTATTGGTCAAAATCGACACCAAAACTTCCCAAAGCCTTCTGGGGGTTGTAGGCCCAGCCTCCCCTACTGCTAGCCAGGCTCCCTGGGCCCAGTAGGCCTCTGGTGGCACAGCCCAGATCATGACAGATGGTTATCACAAAAGTTATTTTATTGCCTGCTCTTTCAGGGTATTTTCAGCATTTATGTATAACAAAGTATTGCTAGGTTTAGGACTGACAGATCCCACCTGGCCACTGGCTGTAAGGTTGCCAGAGCCAGGTTGGGAAACATGTGGGGATGGAGCGTGGACTCTATGGCATTGTACCCCACTGAGATCCCTGGCCTCCCCAGGCTCCATCCTCGGCCTGGATATGGCAATGCTGCTCCCATCCCCCGCTGGTGGCAACCTGGCAACCCTAAACCTATCAATACTTTGTTATACACAAATGCTGAAAATATCCTGAGAGGACAGAAAATAAAATAACTTTTGTGATGACCATTACTGAATTGCTGAACCAATAGGAACTGATCTCTGTCATCAAAAGATCAGTTGCAATCCAAAGGGCTCTCCAGCCCCCACCTGAAGGTTGACAACCCTAATAATTAATTCAGTGGCACTTAAATGAGTATAACTGAGTAAAAGCTTCTGTCTAAGAAGTCTAACAAATGGGACTCAGGTGCCTTGTACATACATTATATTGTCTGCATATTTTCCCCTTCTAAATAGGCCTTAATTTGGAAAACCTGGATCTATGCATTTGTGGCCCTCCTAAGAACATGTCCAAAGGCCTGAAATACTCCTTTAATAGAATCAAGAGTGGCTTTTCCTTATGCATAGTATCAATGGACCTCATCAATAAGCATAACCTTTCTTTCTTTCTTTTTTCATGGCCTAGATAGCAGCTGCAGCAATACCTTGTTAACTCTCTGAGCGTATTAAAATCAGGTTGATTTGCTGGAAGCATTCCCCCAGATGCAAAGGACCACTATATCACCCTATTCATGCCCAATAAACACTGAAATCGTGAAGAGCCCTGGAAATCATTATTCATTCTTTTATAAGCCTATTAGAACAGCATGACTTGGTAGTATTAAGACCCACTTCAGGGAGACTTATGGCAGAAGCTGAAAGGATGCAAGGCTGGAACTTGGCCTCCGAATTGCTTCTAGCACAACTATGCCTGCAAGAAAAGCTATTCTGATTAATATGGAGTAGCTAGTGGATAGGATGCCAGCAGTCTCCTTTTGAAGCCAATAGGAACTGCATAGTCCAATGTAACATGCACTAGCCTTTCATTGTAGTGAGATGGGGATAGGAGCATGATGTGATTTACTTGCCAGGCATTAGATTTTGCTGGATGAATTACTTAGAAAACGTTAATGACTGAATGTGTAGGTTTAAGAACCCCACAGGCTTCACAACTGGTTTTGACCCACAGTAGTAACACATGGACATTTGCTGTAAGATGTGAAGCAGCATTAACAGTTGAATTCTAAGCACAGGGTACACCCTTCTGAGTGCACTGTAGAGCACATTAGAAGACTGTAACTTTGCTTGGGATTGCACTGCTAGAGTCTGAAACACATGCCTGAGAACAGCATCTCTTATGAGCTCTATTCATCTGCTACTGTACATTGCAAACTGCACATTGACTTGAAAGAGGAAACTGTGACAAAAGAAATGTGATAGATATTGGGATGGCAACGTAATATCACAAGTAGCAAATGCCCTGAGTCCTGTGTATCATACAGCCCTATTGGGCAGCCATCTTCCAAGGTGCTCCGTAGGTTTTTTCTGTTTTCTTTATGTAGCTTAGTGATTTGCAAAAATAATTTCACTCCATGTAAAATAATATAGGCACAAGTTATTTTGCAAAACATGATCATTCACTAACAATATGGACCAACATCTACTGTTTAATTGTCATGTGGCAGTTATACTCTAGATTAGTATGGCAACTTCAGATTTTTGAAAAACTTGCTTTAATTTTCCTGGCCAGGGAATATCTCTTAGTGAAGAACAGATGTAAATACCAGTATGCCAAGGATGAAAGAGTGAATCTATAGAGATGTGTTTGCTGAGAAAAAGAAATGGCAGGTATGGACTCAAGAGGATAGTGGTGTTATTTATTAGAAGGAAATGTGAATTTGGGGGTGGCTCTCATGTTAACTTGGAGAACAACAGAGTACATCTAAAAATGGCAGAACCGTCTGCAATGTATGATGCCAGAAATTTTTAACTTCCCTTTTCCTCCCTGGAAAAGGGTGATACTTTATGCAACAGCAAATAAATTATTTGACCCTGATTTCAATATCTGTTCTACACTGCCCCAGTGTCTTAAGTCACAGGTATTTGCATTAGCCATTTCTAGAGTGGTAGTAGCTGTATTCATCATAGATGCTTCATAATCAAAGCTGAGTTTGAGAGTAATTTAAGCTGTTTTCCTGTGTTTTTTTCTGTGGTGCTTTTCTTGGGAAAGGAATGCTGATCTTCAGAGCTCTTAGCAGTGCATATCTTAGTGTTGTTGGTTTTCTAATTTCTTTTTTCTTTTTGTAAAAAACTTGCCTGTTTATTTATTTTAAAAAATCTTTGCTAAGGGAAGTTTATGATAAGTTTTAGCAGTGGTGTCTTTAGCTTATGTACCTGCACTTATTAAATTCAGAAAATAACTGAAAACATTGTTGCTGTTTGTTTGTTTATTGGTAGGCTCCATCACAGCTCACACATACAGTTAACAGCATTCCTATAAATAGCACTCAATTCCAAACAAAATGTTTATGGATAATGATGGTTTGTCTTTGTTGAGTAAACCATACCCACAACAGTTGTCAAATAGTATTTGCTGTTCACTAGTTTTTATGTGTTTTCTGCTCTGGATCTTGGCAGACGACTGTATCTAAAACAAAAATGTGGAAGAAGACAAGCAAAGCCCATAAAGCAGCTCTTAGCGTTAGTAGCCATTTGCCCATGTTTTCTTTCACACAGTCTGTCTGAAAGTAGGTGTTTTAACATAAGTCATCTCTTCTTAACACATGTGTTTATTTTGGCATGATGGTGTCGTGTTTTCATCTCCCACGCTGACACAGCATGTTCATCCGTATTTGCTTTATTACTATGTGAGACATTTAAAATGGCTCAGTGAGGAAAAGGATTCTTGTCACTTAAAGATTCACTCTCCAGCTCTGTGAAAACTCAGTCATGTTAACAGTCTTCTTGCTTTGTTTTGTTCTGTTCAAAAGCCCATCTACTGATATCTGAACATTATAAAGAGAGAGTGATCTAATGTCAAGAATTTCAATGTATACTACTGTACCTTTGTTGGTCTGTGCTAAGCATGTTTTAATTTATACGTTTTTACATGTGTGTATTTAGAAATTGAATCATTGTTATTCTGGCTTCTATGTTTGCATGATATGATTTTATTTTATATTTTTTTCCACTCACCAGATGTTTCCAACATTTTGCTTCCTACCACTGTCATCCCCTCCCTTACCACTGCAACAGTCACAACCACTGTAGCCTTAACAAGCACAGTCCCATCGGCAACAGCCATCGACACCCGAGGTACAGTATGCTTCTTTGTTATGGCCTGCAAATCCCAACATAAACAGTCAATAACAGGTAGAAAAGCAGTAAAATACAATCAAACTGTTTCAGAGATTCTGTGAATATATAGGATTTAAATTCAGCAGTGTATTAAATAAGCAGCTAATTTTCAACAGTTAACATAGCTGTTAATGATTTAACAATACATTATACATTTCTGTCTAATAACATTTGTTGGTTGGGATGATTTTTATCAACAGTTGCTTCCTCTACAATTGTTATACCAAACTTGTGCTGGAAGCAAATATCTGTAATTTCAAATTAACATTGTCTCTTAATAAGGTTATTTTGTTTTCTGTTGCTAATACATTTTGAATGTGTCAAAGATCTTGATTTAACCATATCCTTAGAACCATTTCATTAATTTTACAGCATAGTTTTCCCCTCCAGACTTCTGCTTTATTCTGAATCTACAAAACGAGGATTTTAAAGGCAGTTGTTTTATTGCACTGGAAATCAGTTGGTGTTTTGTTATTTGTACTTGATGATATAGAGAACGTTCTGAAGGGGAGAAGTTGTTTTTTTGGAAAATTGGCTCTTCAGTCCAGACAATATTTAAAATCACATTTTTTGGTTAGAAAATGGCTGCTTTCTTCTTAGTTAAAACAACCATTTCTCACCTGAATTCACTATATTCTGCATCTGTATTAATGACATAGGATCTTATTAAATAGCAGTTGTGACATTGTTAGAGGAAGTAACATATTTCTATCCCTCAACCAGTACCCCAGCCATTATAATGGACAGAGCTGCTGGGTGTAGCTTAAGTCTTCTCTCTACAGCTCCTCCCCATCCTTGCTACCTGTTATGGTGGTGCTCAGGAGAGATTTATTTAAATCAAGGTGATTTCAATCATCAAGAGGCAGTGTAGAGAGCCAGAGCAGTGAAGTGGTTAGATGATAGGACTAGCATCTGAATGGTTTAAATCCCTACTCTGCTATGAAAGCTCGCTGGGTGAACTTGGATCAGTTATACATTCTCAACCTAACTTACCTCACAGGGTAGCTGTGAGGATTAAAAAAGGAGAATGATGTAAGCTGCTTTGGGTTCTATTGAAATCCAAATTAAGTAATTAATTTATTTTTTTTAAGAAAAGAGGTCAGTGTAAGTAACTGTTTCCCCCCAACTTTCCTATTGGCATTTCTTCATATAATTGAATGTTGCATAAGATTATGTAATTACTAAAACAAATTAATTAATGTTACTAAGTTGAAAAATTACATTATTTATGACAGTATGTGTACAAACTGTTGGTGTATAGATGTGCGTGCGCGTAAACGCAATACTTTTAACTAACTTTAGAAAAGTATATGTTGCTGCTTATTAAATTCATAACTCTGCTCATTATGGTGCCTTTTAATTTATAACTCTGACACATTGTATGTGTCAAGCAGCAGAGAGTTAGGAATGTTAGTGGGAAGTAAAACACAGACACATAAATATTCACCCATTATGTTTTGTTAAACTGAACAACCTTAAATTTTACATACATTTTCCACATTTTCCACTGGCCTTCCCCCTGGTAGTTCTTAAAACTTTAAAAACAAGAACGCATACCTCCCTTCACTTTATTCACAGACTAGAAAAGAAATACAAGTTCTACTTTTTTGAAACAATTAAAGGACCAGATTTCCAGAAGCAAAAACCGGTAGGTCATAGGCAGAGCATTTTGTTTTCCTAGAATGAAAAAGAAATGATCTTATTCGTCTTTAGGGAGTTAATTTTCATAACTAGTACCTGATGAAATTGTAGATATTGGATAGTTACAGAGAATAAAAAGGAGCATATAAGTTAACCCAGTTAGGTGCAGTAAATGATCCTCTTGTGATTTTACATTGCGGAATCTCCTGGAGCTAAAGGCAGAATTCAAGTGACTTTAACAACATTGCCATCTCGCTGATCCGAGGATAGATATCATAATAACACTTTAGTATGTGATATATTGGTCTGTATTTATGAACTTAAAAGATAGGTTTTACCATGGTTCTTTATGTTACATAAAGAACCATGGTAAAACCTATCTTTTAAGTTAGTAAAGCAGCCTTTAATGTCATGTGTTTGACAAAGGATTGTAGATGGTTAGGTGATTCACAGTGCAATCTTAAATAGAGATATACCTTTTAAAGCCTATTGAAGTAAATAGAGGCTATAACTCCTTAGGATTGCACTGTAAATTTAAAAACAATGTTGTTAAACCTATGTTTACATACATCATTACCCTCAAATTTAATTTTAAGTAGGATGTTCTAAGAAAAGAGGTTGTTGCTATTTAAACATTTGAAAGATAAATTTAAAAATTGATTTCTTAGACACCCTTAAAAATTATCAGTTAGTGCTCAGACATTTTTAGACTGGGGGAATTCTGGTGGGAAAATTCCATTTAACAGACAATCCATCCATAACATAGAATTTCTACAGCATGCCGGGTTTGAGAGCCAAACTACACTTTAAACATTATCTGCTTTGGTTTTTTTAACTGAATGGAGATTCAGCGGAAATTATAATTTAATTTGGGGTGTGGGAGGGAGGACCCTTTTTGCCACATGCTTGAATTTTTCGGCATTATGTAACACAGCTCTTAATTATAGAGTTCTTTTTTCAGGGTTCATATGCAACTATCTTCCAAATCTTGGCTGCTTTAGTGACACATTTTGTTCAATGGACATAAGCAAGTGCTGGATCTTTAACAGTACCCATCACAATGCATTTTCTCCCTGTCAGCTATATCAAGCTCATACTGTACACATGTAAAAAGTATATGGACACTTTTTGAAACTTCTCAGTGTAAAATCAATATAATATTGGGGGGGGGGGTCATATCACATAAAACAAAACAAAACAAAAGGTTTTCCTAAAATAGTCTTACTGTTCTAAAAGAAACCTGGAATGTGTTGTGATAGATGTACTGATGGGGGAAACATCTCCAAATGATACACAAAAACCCTATGCATTCTTAACTGGAAATAAATCCTCTAAATGTAGGATGGGGCTATGAAAATTTCAATTTAAAAAGTAAATGTTTGTTGTTTTTTGTCAATTTTTGTTTTATGTGACCATGCTGGTGGTGTTCCATTTTAAATATCAAAGATATCTAATACAAAAAATACACATGCTTGTGTTTCAGACTGCAACTCAATGAATTATTCCAACAGTGGGTAGTAAAATGAGTGACTCTAGGCCACATTTGGTATAATGGATGCTTCAATGGCATGGAAAAAGCTATTAACTATAATACAGATAATATAAATCTATTCATGGTAATTAAATTAAAATAAATTTAAAAGAAGTATACAGAGAATGGGTAGGACAGTGTCACAGATCTCATCTCAGAGTTTACCTCTTAAAACAACAAACATTTAATGGAGGTAAGTTTTACACTGGAAAGAAAACATACCTAGGGTTGCCAGGTCCCCTTAGCTTCCTGGCAGGGGAATTTGGAGGCCATTCTTGGGATGGGCAGGGACATTGCACAATGTCCCAATGTGATGACATCACATCAGGGATGTTGTATGGCACTGGTCTGCATTTTGGGCAAAACTCTATGGGTTTTATGGCCTAAAACTATAGAATTTTGCCCAAACAGCAGAGTATCACCATGTCCCAATGTGATGACTTCAGTTCTGCATGACATAATCACATTGAGGACGTCATCATGCAACATTCCTGTTTGGGTTCACCAATACTCCTTTGACTGTATTCAGTAAAAAGCTGTGGCCATGTTTTCACTGAGTCTTGGTCTGCTGAGCCCCCTCATCCTCCTTGAGCTGGCAAACAGGCTCAGAGTTGGATCCAGTGCAAAATTTCTGCTTGCATTAGAGCTCTTGCACAAGCAGAAATGTAAGAAAGAGACTGTGGTAGATGCTTGCAGTAAGACAAATTTACTGTATCCCAATTTGCATTGTGACTTGTGCAAGATTTTATGCAACCAGTCTCTGGGCACTATAATATATTAAAAGCTCTAGGTGAAAAGGGTTTTGAAATGCATTAGGAAAGGCAATGGATCATAAATGAGAAAATGATACACTGGAAGTTACCATGAAAGTCCCTTCTTCTAGAAGTTGTATTTATTTATTTAAGAAATTTTAACTTCCTCCTCAGAGGAGTTAGCATAGGCTACAGTGTCAGTAAAAATGCATATCCAGTAAAGCAAAACAATTAAAGTCAACAAATAAAGCACTAAAACCTTTTTAGACAGAACTTCTAGCAATGCCACCATTCTGTGGCACTGGAGAATGGATGGCATTCTTAATGGCGACCATACAGCTTCAGGCAGTCTTGGAGGAGATGGATTAACTAGAGCCTGGGTTTCAAACATAAACCCTGTCTGATCATCTCTGCTACAAGAGAGATGGAGGGCATCCCTGTTTATTGTCTTGGATGTCTCAGCAGCTTTTGATACCATCATCTATGGTATCCTTCTGAAGAAGTCGGCTGGGTTAGAAGTGGGAGGCACCATGTTTTGGTGGTTGTAGTGTTACTTGACTGGACAATTCGAGAAGGTAGTACTGCTCAGGGATGGCTGCTTGACCTGAAGGCATTTATATTCATGTTAAATTGTCTTACTAGGTAGATGTAGATTAGATTTATTGTTTATGGCCATTGGCCGTTACAGTACAATACGACACAAGATTACATTCAAAGAATACTTATTTGGCAGAGTTCAACCAGGTCAGGGCCAGGATCGAGAAGGCCCTGACCCTGGTCAAGGACAGCCGAACATCTCTAGGGCCAAGGATTACCAGCAAGTTATTGTTTGAAGAGTGTAAAGCTCTCCCGATGGCACACCAGAGGAGATGGTCCCATAGATTTGTTGGTCCCAGACCACTCAAGGCCTTAAAGGTCAATACCAAAACCTTGAACCTTGATTAAAAAGGAAGTCTCTAGCCTCTTTTAGTCTACAGATACAAGAGGAGAGATATATCTCTGGAACAGAAATGGCTAGAGAATTTCTTTTTCAA